GATGTACCTTAAAGGATTCTATCAATGTTAATTTCCTGAGTTTGATCACTGTACTGTGGCTATGTCAGAAAATGTCCTTATTCTTAGGAAATATACACGAAAGCAATTAGGGGTTAATGTTTTCACTTCACTCAAATGATTCACAAAATATTATAAATATATTTGGAGAGAAAACAACAGCAAATCGAACGAAATGTTAACGTGCGGAATTCAAGTGAAGGCTTCTTACACTTTTGCACCTTTTCTGTAGTCACAATTGGAAAGTGGCCTGGCCTGTGTGGCTCCTTTGGTTGGTCCCATGCACCAGGAGGTCGCTGGCTTAATTCCTGGTCAGGGCACACACCTGGTTTTGGGCTCAACCCGCGTAGGGGATGTGCAAGAGGCAGCCAATGTATGGCTCTATCCCTCTCTCCATCTCCTCTGAAATCAATGAAAAAATAGTTTTAAAAAATTGATTAAAGATTTTTTTTAAAATATATTTTTATTGATTTCAGAGAGAAAGGCAGAGGGAGAGATAGAAACATCAATGATGAGAGAATCATTGATTGGCTGCCTCCTGCACAACCCTCATTGGGCATCAAACCCATAATCCAGGCATGTCCCCTCCAGGAATCAAACCAAGACCTCCTGGTACATAGGCTGAAGCTCATCAACTGGGCACACCGGCAGGGGGATAAATATATTTTTAAAAGTGGTAACAAGAACACTAAAAAAAAAAAAAAAGCTAAAACTTTTAGAATATATTTTTAAGCTTCATATTTAGAATTACCTATTTAAGATGTTTTGTAAATTTAGCCTAAAAATATGAACAAATTGAACTTTCAATTCCATTTAATGCTTTCATAGTAGAAATTACATAACTGTGTTGCTCATATTTTTATACTATTAAATGTAATTCCAGATCTACGTATGTTAAAGAAAAATACCTCTATCTTTTACACATTCGTTTACAAAATATTTTAAATGTTGTTTACAGTTATTTTCCTTTAAATTATGACAATAATTTATCAGTTTTTTAAAAATATATTTTTATTGATTTCAGAGAGGAAGAGAGAAGGGGAGATAGAAACATCAATGATGAGAATCATTGATTGGCTGCTTTCTGTATGCCCCACACTGGGGATTCAGCCTGCAATTCAGTGCCCTGATCAGGAATCAAACCGTGACCTCCTGGTTCATAGGTTGATGCTCAACCACTAAGCCAATCTGGCCAGGCTATTTTATTGGTTATATTCAATGATTGTTTTTAGTTTGTTTGGATGTAGTTTTAAACCAGAATGTTATCTATTTAGTGGTGCTCTGATACACATATTCATGTATAAATAACAAAGAACCCTGTAACAGATTACCAATGCACTATATTTTGTTAAAGCATAGATAATTATTTTGCAATGTGACTTCCTAACTAATTTAAACTGGTAATTATGTCAAAGGTTTGAGTAGAGAAAGGTATAAACAGGAGGAAGATGGTAATTCCCTACAATAGTACTTGACAGATGGTGGGCACAAAATAAATATTTGTTAGGGGGTGGGGAGGGATTACATAATTTCATATCATTTGCAATATATCATTAGAAACAATGAGTGTTGAATGATAATTAGATGCTTAAAAATCTAAAGCTGCAAAAATAACCTTTCTTAAAATCAACAGAAATCAAATCAAAAAAGCTTTTGGTGAAAATGAAATTTTAAATATTTATTTTGACATGCTGTTTTTATGAAGCTATTACCTAGCAGAGGTGTCGATGTATTAGTATCAAATTAAGACTAAGAAAAATAAAAGACACATTGTATATATTGTATAATACATCAAGCTATGAAGTTATTAAAAATTTAAAACCAGAATTTGAAGGAATGTCACCAAGCTAATAGAAAGTTGCTAGTATTAAAACTTGTTGATACATGTCTACAAGACCGAATTCAGGTTCTACTGTATTCAAGCCCTGACTCAACACTTATGATGACTTCAGAAGCAATCCAAAAAAAGGTATAGTCCACAAGAGACATGTGCAAAGGACTTTCAAATACTTTATTTTTTAAGATCAAATTACCATTTAAGCACTTTATTTTCTACATAGAATTAGTTGAAATAGCAGATACTGAAGATAAACTAAAGTTATGCATACTAGTATTTATGCATACTTTTGAGTATATTATTATAGGACACTGAATAGTATGATGCATTTTTATCATTCCATACGAATTTATTGAATACTTTCACACATACTGCAGTGTGGGCATACAGATTTAGTGTAAGATATGCCCCGATCTCTTTGAGTTTGTACTTTTAGTTTTTAATTTTATTTTATTGAATTTATTGAGGTGGCATTTATTCAGATGTACAATTCTATACACATCACCTGTATATTGTATTGTGTGCTCACCAGCCCAAGTAAAGTCTCCTTCCATTATTCACCCTCTTCTACCTCCTCCCACCCCTTTTATCTCTGGTAATCACCATACTGTTATGTGTGAGTGAGGTTGTTGTTGGTGGTGTGTCTGTGTGTGTGTTTTTGGGGATTGTTTTTTTTGCTTTAATTCTTTCATCTTTTTCACCCAGCCTCCCAATCCCTGGCCCTCTTATAGCTGTCAGTCTGTTCTCAGTATCTATGAGTCTATTTCTGTTTGTTAGATTAGTTTATTCATTAGATTCCACATATAAGTGAGATCATATGGCACTTGTTTTTCTCTGACTGGTTTATTTCACTTAGCATAATACTCTCTAGGTCCATCCATTCTGTCACAAAAGGTAAGATTTTCTTTTTTTTTCCTTTTTTTTCAGCCAAATAGTATTCCAGTGTGTAAATGTACCACAACTTTTTATCCACTCATCTGCTGATGGGCACTTAGCTGGTTCCAAATATTGGCTATTGTAAATAATACTGCATTGAACACAGGGGTGCATATGGTCTTTCCAATTAGTGTTTTTGGGTTTCTTCAGATATATTTCCAGGAGTGGAATTACTGGATCATAAGGCAGTTCCGTTTTTAATTTTTGAGGTAACTCCATACTGTTTTCCACAGTGGCTCCACCAATCAGCATTCCCACCAACAGTGCACAAGGGGCATTTTCATTTCTAGTTAAAATTAATCACAATTTCTACTTCAAGATATTCCACAAATTAAGGGGTGAAGGGTTAAAGAATAGTACAGCTGCTCAAAGGAAGCATGAGATGAATTAATACAAATTTCAGGAAAAGGATTTGAAGTATTTTTCATAAGACAGGAATCTAGCAAGATAAGTATGTGAACATTTTATACTATAGTACCAAAGATAAAATCTCCCTGAAAATCTCTTCCATATAAAAATTCAAAAGAAAAAAGAAAGAAAGAAAACTGATCAAGCCATGTTAGCAGAGAATGTGCATCACCATTTTGAGAATTAGTAACCTAATACATAATTGCTCATTAAAACATTCAGCTGCACAGGAAATATTACAATATAATGTAATAAAAGAAACAGCACCTTGTAAAATTCAAGCTATCTAAAATGAGAGTTTGAAAAACTATTCTGAACTACAAATCACGTGACATCATTTGATAATAACGTGGTCACAAAATTTTGAAGTGTAATGTTACATGTTGAGGTAAACACAAGCAATAACAGAACATTTAAATCCAAAATTATGCCTATATATCATGGTAGGCAAAAATTCCTTTTCTTTTTAAGTCCCATATTTAATGTTCTCTCTAAAATGGGTTACTTAGCTTACTTGACTAAGGAGTATACCTTAACATAAGGAAGAAAAATTTTAAAGACCCTACTTAAGAATTAAAACAATATAAAAGTGTATCTTTCAGTGTATCATTCTATTAAACACATAGAGAGCTTTATTATAAGACTTGCTTCTCAGTGGAATTCAGATAAAATGAATCTGCTTCAGGCCATAGACCAAAACTTCTTACCTCAGTACCTCAAAAATGTTGTTATAATTTTTATTAGACAATTCCATGGTATAGAGCAGCCTTTCTCTGCCAGAGTTCTGAGTATAATATTACAATCAGACCTAATGTCTTTATTTTTTAACTAGAAGCATGGTACATGAAGATTCACGCAAGAATGGGCCTTCCTTCCGCTGACTGCCAGCACTGCCTTCTCTCTGGCCAGAGCAGCCTTTCTGCTTTTGCTCCATCCTGGAGCCACCCTTCTGCCTTCACTCCTGACTGGAGCTACCTTGCCACCTTCTCACACTGCCCAGAAGCCTGGAGTGGCTGGGGTGGTTCAGAATGCCTGCATCATCGCCATGGTGATGATGCAAGCAGCCTGCCCCTGGCCATTTGGTGCCTGTGTATGCAAATTAACCCACCATCTTTGCTGGGTTAATTTGCATACTCATTTTTGCATTTTTCTCTTTTATTGATGTAGATGAGGGAGGCAAAGTATATACTTATGTTGTTTCTAATCCATTAAAACCTTTTGCATTGAAAAAGTTGTCTTTGAATGGCTAATTCAAATAAAAATAAATTTGCCTAGTAGTGTAAGTAATTTCAATGGCATAGATATATTTTCAAATAATATTTTCCAACTGTGACATCTATATCAAAAGTCTCACAACAGTAATGTATATCCATGCTTCCAAAACCTGTTATTAATCAAAATGCTCTCTTATAACTTTAAAAAAATAGCTCTTGGTTTCAAGAAACATCAATACATTATTAATGAGCTATTATAACTCTGTATTTACTTTCACTTATAAATATCACATAAATTACAACTGGCAGGACTATAATGTTAAATCACTAAACTAATTGCTAAATATTGGTTTTTAAAGCTTTGTTGCAAAACAATTTAGTGAAACTAAAACACATACACATACACATACACACACACACACACACACAAAAAAAAACTAACAAAAGGGTTTTTTGCAAGTAATACAATGATAGGAGTTGATAAATACTTGCATAGTTCTTGTAGAAAATGTACCTGGCACAATGGAAGACAAATATTGGCAAACACCACATGTCTCAAGTTATATTTGAAGAAATAATACAATCTGTAGTATTTCATGAAGTTGTTTATTCTTGTAATTAAAACTTGGACTCAGGTAATCCTGGTTATTCTGGAAAAAGCACCTTGTTTGTAGAGGTCATTTAATCATCCTTTTCTACAATCACCTCTCCATGAAGCACCTTTCTTCTTTGACGTAACATGTAAAAATAGAGCTGTGGAAACACTTCATGGAAAAAAAGAAAACAAAGCAAGATAAGCTATTGTTGGAAATTATTTAAACTTGAAATCTCTTAAAGGTGTCAAAATTTGAAAGCAAGCACATCAGAGGCCACTGCCACCCCCTAGTATTTACAGAGCTCAGGGAAGAGTACAAATGGAGGCCAACGACCATTGGCCTAAATACTCTAATGCAAAAGCTGTGAGGTCTCATAGCAAACTTTAATACTACCTTGACAAATACACTTTCATAATGACCTGGAAGGCCATGTTTGAATTTAGTAACAATTTGAAATATTGTGCCAGAATATTCCAGCACAGGAGAGCTGCCTGCCTGGCCCCTGCTCTCCATTCCATTGGCTGTCCTGTACCACAAGGGGTATTGTGAGTATATGTGTGGATATGCAAGCCCACACAGTTCATACCTCCATCCGTACCCCTCGCAAACAGCTTCCCCTAGCTACCTCTGGATTTCAGGGCTGTGTACACTGCCAACATGGTAAACCCTCAGGAGAACAAACTGAGGAGGAGGCCTATGTGTGCCTAGATGTACACTCAGTGCCCTGTGGGCAGCAAATTCCATGGCCCCAGGTTTCCAGATTGTGATCTAGAAGGCGGTGGGTGGAGAGGTGATCAGTGGTCAGCCAGAGCAGAGGCCCCTCTTGGCTGGGTATGGGAGTAGTCATTTTATACAAGCACATACATGTGCATGTATTACATCAGACAAACTGTCATCTGCCCTATCAAATTTGGAGAATTATTCTGAGTCAATGTGAATCAATGATTTAAATTAACACTGTAAGCGTTAATGGATGAACAAATTCACATTAACTATCAACAATACAAATGTAAAAATGTCCCTGAAAATGGGCACAGAATAATCAAACCAATGACTTTAATGACAAAACAAGCTTTGAATATCTAGCTTCAGCAACTTCAGATAACTCTTTTTAGACCTTGGCTCAAATGGAGCAAAAATGCAGGTACTATTTAAAATGTAGGTACTATTCATCTTAATATACGTGACCATCATTCTATACCTAGGGATCTCAATATATTCAGGTCATATATACCAAAAGCTAACTGACCAGTGATTGCAAATGCTTCTCTAACACTCCGAGTTTAGTAGAAGTGTAGACTTGAGTTCCAATCCTGACCTTTTTTTTACTAGTTGGGTGACTTTTAATCCATCCACTTAACCGCTCTATTCTATAATGTCCTCATGATAAATGAGAACTAACAATATTTCTTTTGAATATTAAAATAAGTACTCAAAAAGTACTTTTAATACTTTTAATTAGCAAAAGAATTTAGTAAGTAAAGCACCATTATTTATCATCACTAATAATAATAAAGAAGAGAACATCCCCCCGGCTGACTGATCTTCCAGCAAGTGGGCCTCTCAGGTAAATGTCAGCATAATAAACTGAGAAGCTGCTGCTGGCACAGGAGAGGGTCTACGCTTCCCAGGACACCTGCAAACACATGGTCGAAAGTTGTTAGTTTGCTGGCTTCCACCGTGATCTATTGAGCTTTGGGTTTTCTTGCAGATGTCTCAGTGGTCGAAAGGAATGAGAACCCAACCCCTGAAACTGCAACTATGATATGACAGACACTGAAGCAAGTTCTGGCTCTGCTCACGGTGTGCTGCCATTCACTGAGTGTTGGGAAAAGCAAGAGATACAAATAACTGTCATAGGTGTACCACTCCTTAGCTCTCCTGAGCTAATGCTGGTAAAAACCTAACGAGAGTCAGGCTGAAATGGTACCAGTGAGGGTAATAAAAACACTACCTGACCAAAGCCAATTTTGATTTTGAAAAGCTTACAAATTGTTTGGGCTGGGGTGCCTCAGTGGTTGAGGGTTAACCTATAAACCAGGAGGTTGTGGTTCAATTCCCAGTCAAGGCACATGTCTGGGTTGCGGGCTCGATTCCCACCCAGTAGGGAGCCTGCAGGAGGTACGTGATCAATGATTCTCTTACTGTTGATGTTGCTATCCCTCTCTCTCTCCCTTCCTCTCTGAAATCAATAAAAATATATTTTTAAAAATTGGAGGCCTCCATGTGCTGGCCAGTTTTTATGTTCATCCCCTTTAGATGACGTATTTTATACTGAGTCAATGTAGACTTTAGATTTTATAAACTTTTCTTATTTCCCTTTCCCCTCACTGACACCAATCTCTAATTTTATTCAGAAGGGTAACTAACCACCTTGCTTTACATTATTTCCTGCTAGTAACTATCAAAATTTGACCTAAACATTTATCATTATTAGTGCTTAAATGAAGCAATTAAAGCCTAATTCATTGCAACTACTGAAGGGTGATGAGAAATGAGAGGAGGCTGAGTTACTAAAAATATTTTAAGAAAAGTTAGCTTCATTATTTTCCAGAGCATAAAGCAACACATAATGGTATAAGACTAAAAAGTACTCCTAGATGATTTCTCCAAGTGAATAGATAAAAATGACCTGGCATTTTCTAAGATAAAATGTTTCTATTAAATACATAACTCTAAATACTTACAAATAATGCACTGGCCCATGCTTTATCTTTTCTTTAAAAAAAAAAAATCATACTTAGCTTATTTTTAAGTAATTTTGAGAAGGTAATCATTTGTATATTAATTTACTTACCTTTCTTCTCATAACTTGGAAAAAGCCTTTTCTAACTCACTAACTCTTCAATTATCTATATAATAAACACCTAAGTGACCCTTACAGTGGAACTACCAAAATGACCAGTCACTCTGATGCGCGCTGATCACCAGGGGGCAGATGCTCAATGCAGGAACTGCCCCCTAGTGATCAGTGAGCTCCCACAGGGGATGCGCTGCTCGCCAGAAGCTGGGCTCATGGCTGGCTGGCTGGCGAGTGCAACAGAGGTGGCAGAAGCCTCTCCCACCTCCAAGGCAGTGCTAAGGAGCAGCGAGCAGATGGGCAATACGGAGCGAGGGATCCCCGACTGCGAGAGAGATGTCTACCTTCCAGCTTAGGCAGACATTCCCCCGAGGTCTTGGACTGTGAGAGGGCACAGGCCAGGCTGAGGGTCCCCCTCTCCCCGCTGGCCAGTGCATGAATTTCATGCACCAGGCCTCTAGTTTCATATAAATGAATATATGTGGGATTGAAGAGGTATTTTTTTATATAATTTATTGAGGTGTAATTTTCATATCATAAAATTCACCCATTTGAAGTGTACAGTTTTAGTTTAGTAAATTTATACAGCTGTGCAACCATCACTACAATCCAGTTTTAGAGCATTTCCATGAATAGAAGTTTTGATGCATTTGTAAGCTGTTACTTCTCCTTGCTTCTTAAGCTAGCAATTATGATATCTCTCCAAAAACTTTCATAGCATATGTTAAATCAAAGTACTAATAAACACATACTTACATGGTATATATGAGGCCATGGTTATAAGAAGAAAATAATAGTAGTCAAAAGAGATATTGTATTTATTAGGAAGTCTTATTGAATACATTCCACTTTTCTTCACATGTGGTAAGGCAGCATATATTGTGAGAAGTTCACCGGCAACTCCAACAGGATATAAGATGATAAAAAAATTATATCTGGAGGGAAAAAAAAACCTCAAAGTTATTTTTCTAGAATAAGTATTGAATTTTGTATCATGGTTCTTTTGCTACTGCTATGTTTAAACTTAAAAATTCTCCTTCCTATACATATTTACAATAACTTCACATAAAAAGGTTAATTTTTTCCTACTTTAATCATTTGCTTATTAATTTAATTATCATCCTTTTTCTCATAGCAGTCTCCATTTCAAATGGCAAGATCATAAAAAAAGTCAACTTACTTTAAAGTAGTGTACATTTTTTACATGTATATGCAGTTTTAAACTATTTTGACCAGTTAACTGCCACGATATTTTGAATTTAATTTAAAAAAGTCTGCTGCTTGCATCTATAGATGCTTATGGCATACAAATGGTTAAAGTATGTAAGTACTGATTTGTAAAGCATATGCAAGCTTGTAAGGTATTTTAAAGGTAACTTCTTTGACACCTGGAATCATAACTGATTTTTTCCCCTTGCAGCTACACATTTATTGTTCAAATGCTGTGCTTTAAAAGACCAGTTATGATCCTAATTTTACATCTAAACCTTGAAATTACCTATTTAAAGGAATTTGGAAAACCCTTTGTGGTTACTAATTAAAAGAGAATATTTCAGAAAACTGATTAATAATAACTAAAGCATCAGTAACCAGTAATTGTCTAAAACTACTTTCACAACAAAACAAGTAAAACAAGCTGTTCCCTGAATTCCCACATCCTATATAATAAAAGGCTAATATGCAAATCAACCAAATGGCAGAACAACTGGTTGCTATGATGTGCACTAACCTCCCAGGGGCAGATGCTTAATGCAGGAGCTTTCCCCTGGTGGTAAGTGTGCTCCCCCAGGGGGACTGGGGCAGTGAGAGCTGGCCTAAGTCATCAGTTGGACAAGGGCTCCCCGACTAGGAGAGGGCACAGGCTGTGCTACTGAGCTCCCCACCCCTACCCCAGTGCTCGAATCTCATGCACCAGACCTCTAGTTAATAAATAGTTTAGGTAGCCTGGCCAGCGTGGCTCAGTAGTTGAGCATCAACCTATGAACCAGGAGTTCACAGTTAAATTTCCGGTCAGGGCACATGCCTGGGTTGCGGGGGTGTGCAGGAGGCAGCCAATCAGTGATTCTCTCTCATTATTGATGTTTTTCTCTCTCTCTTCCTCTCCTTTCCTCTCTGAAACCAATAAAAAAAAAAAAAAATCCTTTTAAAAAAAATAGCTTAGCTTGCTCAAAACAGAACTAAGAAAGTTCAATTCAAAATCCAAAAATCAGTTTGTTCACGTGGACTGTGGCAAGTTCCCTGACACAGAGCAGGCCAGGCATCATTTATGCTACAGTTTGGGCAACAGTCTCCAAGTTCCCACTGGTCCAGGAGCAGCCGCCTCAAGGACCCCAGGCTTTAAAGAAAATAGTTTTTCTCCAAGTCAGTCATTATGTAGCTGAAAATTAAGGTCAAAATTTTGCTGGAAAAATAATCCATATTTTACTTAATCATTTTGTTGGCATTAAGAAATATTTGTAAAGAAAAGTAAAATTTGTCAGTATGACAGAAGCCTAGAGACAATCTTATTCCTATAATAGAGGCCTGGTGCATGAATTCGTGCACCAGTGGGGTCCCTCCGCCTGGTCTGTGGGATAGGGCTGAAACTGGCTCTCCAACATCTCCCGAGGGATCCTGAGTTGTGAGAGGGTGCAGGCCAGGTCAAGGGACCCCACGATGCACAACTGGTGCCAAGGAGGGATGCAGGAGGTTGGCCAGTGGGGGAGGGACTGCAAGAGGGCTTCAGGACACGTTTAGCATCTTGCTCAGACCCAATCAACCAGAGCCCAGCAGCAAGCTAACCTACTGGAGTTCCCCCAGGTGGTCAGCGCACGTCATAGCAAGCAGATGAGCGGCCACAGCATATCATTAGCATATTATGCTTTGATTGAATGGCTGACCAGCCGACCGGACACTTAGCATATTAGGCTTTTATTATATAAGATGTCAGTTATATAAGGATAAAAGATGGTGGATAGGGACAGAATTATTTGCCAAAAGAGATTAACTAGTAAAGACAGAAAAATGGCCCAGCCAGCATGGCGATTGGGTTGCAGGCTGGATCCCTAATGTGAGGCGTGCAGGAAGCAGCCACTCAATGATTCTCTCTCATCACTGATGTTTCTATCTCCCACACCCTCTCCCTTCCACTCTGAAATCAATAAAAATATATATTAAAAAAGAAAGAAAAAAAATCCTTTTCCTGTCCCAGTTTACCCCCTCCTTTCCTTCAGTATATCTATCCTGGTTTCTTTTCCAGTAGCTATTTGCATATCATTTAAATCAATCTTTTCCAATATAATTTTCCTATCTCAATTTAAAATCATATAACTGAACATATTATATTCCTTTTACAAGTAAAACATTCAAACTTATTTAAGTCATTTTTTATAAACTTTATGTTATTCTCAGCTTTTTTTTTTTTTTTGGTAGCATTGTTCTTTAATAGGTAATAAACTCATTTAAAGCGTTTAAGAGTGATTATTTTTAATAAAATGAGAATAAATTATTTGACTTTATTTGTATTTTTAAAAGATTACATCATCCCTCTCTAAGTTCTGATGGCAGTATAATTTACCTACCATTCAGAAAAAGACATAATGTTCCTTAAAGATTCCTAATTTTCATCTAAAATTTTTTGAAGGAAATGTATTTTTTAAGTTAAACTGGAAATCAATATGAAAATATAACAATATACAATGATCTGTTTGGTGGACTTTTCTAACGACACTTTTAGCACAAATAGGATCAAGTTATATTCAAACTGTCACAGTAGGCTAACTAGTAATAAATAAAAAGGCATTTCTAAAGTAAAGCTTTATTTGAGGACAATAGCTTTAATATTTGAACTTAAGTACAAATATGATTTTAGGTTCCCTAAGGGTGTTGGCAAATGTATACATAAGACAGTTGGGATCTTTATAATTTTTGACACAAAATAGAATTCATGATTATAATGAACTGACATGATGTATTATGCTAACATATGCATTTCAAATTTGAGAGGTTTTATAGTGCCTTGTTTAACATTAAGACAATTAACATTAAGGCAAATAACATCCTATGGCACAGTTGTGAACTTTTCCAGAAATTCAAAACATGCAAATGCATGCCAAAAGGCAGACATGCAAAACATTCAAGACCACTATCTTCCACAAATGTTATAAATACAGCAAATTTAAAAAGACTATAAAATGAATTTTTATTTTTGAAGATGTTAGACGTCGGAAAGAATGAGGTCATGCTAAATGGCACTCACAAGCATTCTAGGATTAGAGTACGGCTTTCAAACCGCCAACATTAAGATGGGCCCAATCACCAAAGTTTTCAGATACAACAAATGGAATAAAACACACCAAATACATACAAAGGGTAATAGTGCAACTTTCTTAAGACATACAATTAATTTAAGCTCAAATTATAATTTTAAATAATCTTATTACATACAAAATGGTAAGCCACAAATGTTGAAAAAAGAACTAGAAAATATTTTAAAAGTCTAAAAAGTTATATAACACAACAGTGATTATCCTTGTGCAGGGAAATTGTAAGACATTTAAAAGGTTTTTTTTTTTCCTTCTTTTTGGTTTATATATATTCTTATTTATTATATGTAAACATTCATAATATGAGTTATAAAAAAGGAGTAATCACTAAAGAAAGAGTGATAGGCTTTTAATATATAAAGATCACAAACAAGTTAGGAATGTGTGAGTATAAACATCAGAGTTTTTAAAAACAACAGAAATATGGATATTTGAGATGCCATATTTATAATATTTGAAAATTATCTAAATTCTAGCAATATAAAACTGGGTCAGTCATACTATGGGATATTAAAGAGTTAAAGAGCTAAATCTAAATATACCTATAGTGATTTTAAAAAAAGAGAGATCTCCAACATATAAAAAAAACAATATAATGTCATCCTATTTATGTTTTTAAAAACTCACACTGTGTTCAGATTTTTGATAATATGAAAAAAATCTGGACGGGTAAACACCACACTTTTTCCTTCTGAGGGGTAGGGAGTGGGTCAGGTAAGAGCACAGAGAGAAACTTTCTGTGTTTATGCTAAAACTTCTGTGCTAGTTGAGCTTTTTACAAAGAAAACATTATTTCTATAGTTTAAGAGACAAATGTAAAGAAGTGGAAATACTGTGAAACCCTTTTATCCTACCTAATGGGACAGATGTATAGGAGATGCACATCCCTTATCCTGTGCCTCCTTGAACTCCTTACTCCCTGGCATTGCACAGAGCTGTTAGTGGTTTCGTTCTGCCTCCTCCATCTTGAGTGGACAGAGATTTTGTTGTGCCCATGCCTGCATTTCGACCATGCAGTTGGCACAGAGCACATTAAGTTGTTATTGATGTTATTGCCACTATAAGTACAACAGAAAATGCAATGAACAAATCTATGCTTTGCGGTCTGTTCTCCAAAGAACAATCTTGTTTTTATAATAATTTTGTAAAATATCAACTGCTCAAAGAATTCAACCTTTAAAAAGAAAAAAAATATTTTGCTTTAAAAATTAGTTTTAGGATATATAGGACCTTTGAAATATAAATGTTGTACCCAGTCCAAATAATACAATTTCAAATAAGCATGACTCTTTAAATGTCTTAGTATTTTATACATACAAAAAAAAATTGATGTTTAGTATGTATAAAATACTAAAAACTGTATCTTATACATTTTTGTCATTTAAATCAATGATAATTTAAACCAATCAGACAAAATGCCATGTTTTTGGCACACTGTTTATCTAATATAATTTCCAAAATGTATATTTTGCTTTTAAAGAAAAATGAATGACCAATTTAGAGCATAAGGATACTAATATAATTTATCTTATATTGATTTCCTAAAATATATATATTATTTCTCTCTGATCGTTAATTTAAGCCTTTAGAATGCAAGTTATAATGTTTTGCTAAGTATGCAAAACAACAGCACCCTGGCTTTACAGGGCTGAAACACAAATTTTAATTCTCTGGAGTTAGCTCAGCAACAAAACACGCATGCACAGGACTGTGAGAAACTAAATTACAAGGCATCGCCACCTGGCCCATTTAATGAAGTATGGCAAGTGGTTGAGAAGACTGAATGTGTAGAAGGAATAGCGAGTAATCTCTGTCACAGTCCACGCGACCAGAAAAAGCACCACACTCTCCTCATTTTGGATCTGCAGAATGACATAGAAATCCACAGTGTCGTTTAAGCTCGAGCTTTTTTCTCCATGAAGATATTTTATCTTAATTATCTACTGTGTGTCTTTTATTATAATGGAACGGTAGGGTTAGACAGATGTAATACAGAAAACGAATGCAGTCACCATTACATAATTCATTATAAACACACAACTTCAGTGTATCCTCAGCACAGGAACGGTCACATTTGTCCTGGATTCTCTCTCACAATTCACTCCAGCCAGTAACTCAGCTATCCCAGGGCAGCATCGCCCCCTCAAAACAGCATGGAACAATCTAACCCTCCGACTTTCTCTGAGTCATCAAATCAGACCCATTCCACTGTAGCACGAACTCTTGAATCTGCCCACTCATCTTTGGCCCTGCTACTACCAATTGAATCCAAGGCCTCGTCATCTCTCATCCAGACTATCGTGACAGCCTCCTAAAAAAAAAATCTCTCCACTGCTTTATTCTCTTCATGGGTGAAAGTTTTCTCTTAAAAGCAAAACAAAGAAGCAAGCAAACAAAAACAAAACTGGGGGCAGGCAGCCAGTCTTGTGGTTTAAGTCTCATTGGATTCCCACTATTTGAGAGGAAATGATACAATCCTACCACCTGAGCAAGAAGTTCAAGGTTCTTTATAATCTGAGCTCAGAAATCTCTCCAACTTCATCTGCAAACACTTGACCCAGCCCCACCCAAATCCCCAACACGTCTCTCTGGTGACAATAAACTTTGAATTCTTTCCAGAACATGCTCTGAACACTTATGCCTTAACACATGTTACTCCCTCTAACTAGAATGCTAATCCCATAGAAAACCCCTTCTCACCTCATATTTTAAGATCCAGCTAAAGTATCGCACCCTCTAGAAAACTTTCCCCAAACAAGTCCTTTCACCCTGAGCAGTCATTTGCTCACTTTCCTTGTTCTCACAGTATTTTGTTCATATCTGTATTATAACATTTGCCAATTTTGAACTAAAATTTGTCTGCCTGGCTCTGTCTACCTATCAATACTCAACTCATACATTCTTTCCTCAGGGAGACTTCCTTCACTTCCTAGGTCAGGCTGAGTCCCGAAGTATATTGCCATGCAGGCTGGTCTCTTGGTTCAAAGCACTAACGTTAATATAATGAAACAATTATTTGTGTAACGGCTTGTCTAGTGTCTATGCCAATCACAGGCTCTGTGAGGCAGGTACTATATTTGCATTACTAATAGCCAGGTCCCCAGCATGTTGGCTGGGACTGCCTCATTCATCAGAAATTAACACCGTGCTCGGTGTATAGAATGCACTCAATAAATGTTGGTTGAATTAAAGAGTTAGATAAAATTAAATAGTAGTAATAAAGCAGAGATAAAATTAAATAGTACTAATAGTACTAATAAGGCAGAGATCCTCTGGAGGATAAAAGAAGAGCAAGCAGTGGACCTTTTTTCTCTTGGGTACTAGCCACCGTAAGCTTGTTTTCAAATTCTTTTCTCCGGTTAATGTTGGCCACCCTGTCTTTTCTTTCTTCTTTCTCAGGCTTCAGACTCTTTGCGGTCCTGGCACAGCTGTCATATTCACTCCCTGTCCAGAATAGTCTCTCTTTTATTCTGTTAATGTCCGACACCTTCTTTTAAACTACACAGCAATCTGAATTAAAAGTCTGGATCTCCATGTGGCATGCACTCAATGCTCTCCGTATGGCAGTCATTGGTTAGGGACCAGATGGATAGAGTAAGTTGAGTGAAAGATACTGGTCAAGAGGGCTAGAGTGTAGAGTAATAAGAGGGCACAAGGTCAACAATCTGTCCCCATGCAGAAGAGGGGTGGGGAGGGGGGGCACTGAGTCTTGCAGGCAATGGAAGGGAGGTTAAGTATCATCCCAAGTAGAGAAAGGCATCTGAGGAATGGAAAGGAGGCCAGAGATCTGTCCTCAAGTAGACAGGAGACTCCAGAGGCTGACAAGAAGGTCAGAAGGGCCCCTCTGAGAAATGTTTGTCGTGGGTTTAAAAGGCCCAATGTCTTGACATAGTAAGCATGTGTTTGTTTGTCTAAATGGGTTTAAGCCATTAACTAGATTTGGGTCTCTCTCCTGTCATGCCTTAATAAATAATGTGCTTGTTTTCCATAAGTTCCTTAGCCCTTCTATCTTTTTATCCTTGACATTTATTTGTATCTCCAGAACTACATTTACTTTTTATGTGTGTTGCTACAGCACTCAGTGCTAAATGAGGACAAATAAATGGTTTACATGGACAAGTTCAAATTACATAAGCAAAGACAATATACATAACTTCAGTAGAAAATTTTCAGTTAACCATTTGACAGAACAGTAATATTATTCATTTTAAAAACTGGAACACACCAGAGGAGAGTAATTATGAATATAAAATGCTAATATTTGGTTTTGCTTGTGCTTCAAAGTTATTCTACTAATTCGTTGAGTCAATGGACAAACACACTTAAATCAAAACCCAAACTTTATTTTGCCCAATGATTCTGCTTCCTGAAATATACCAGTACTAATATTTTAGATGCCTATTAATAAGAGAGCTGTCTTGCAGGCTCAACTAGAGAACACGTTCGTGTCACTTACTGGTTTTATGCTATGAGTAATGAGCCACACCATAAAGATTCTGGAACTGACTTGGACCCCAGCCACAAGCACAGAAGTAGGTACAATTCCTTAAAGAGAAAAAGAAGTCAACCATTGTCTTCACGGTAATTTATACCAAACATAAAAGTTAAATAAAAAGCTCACCAATTAAACAGTGGACTATCTGTAAGCAAATAAAAAAAAAAATCACAAGTCAGTACCATACAACATAAAATAAATCCCTGTTGACATTGGTTTTAAATGAATCTGTAGGTGGTATGTAATCAGTAAAATTGCTTTTGCTCAACAAATGTATTTTCAAATAAATATTACAATGACAAAAAACAGAATCACTAAAAACTTACCTCAAGCAAGGCAAATGTCTGGAAAAATTTAAGTGTCTTCTGAATACTTTTATATAAACCTTTGTGTGTTCCTTTTTCCATATAAAAACGCACCATAGTAATAGCTAGAACCAACCACCTAGAGAAAATGAAAGTATTTTATAAAGTTTTGTCAAAATAAATCTTCCTATAAAGAATACCATAATTTAAATAATAATAACATGTATGTCTTATGCTCTCAATTTGTTATTATGTTTTTAAAATCTGAGGAAGAAATAATAAATATCATCTTCAAGGGGATGAACAGAACATATTTAAAACCAACTACATACAAATGTCAAACAATGTCCACTGTATCTTTGGTTCCACCAGATAAACTGACAGACTGAAAAAAAAAAAAATCAGGTTTATTACCAAAAATGAACTTATTATTAAGCATTTAGTAATCAAATAGTGACTTCTTAAGGTAAAAAGCTGTGTAAATATGTACTTTATTACAAATACATAATACATAACTATATGCAATTATAAGTAAAATCATTAATAAGAATCAATATTTTTACAATTTTCATTAAATAAAAACAATTGTTATGTTACACAACAACCTCTAATATATGGGACACATCAAAAGCAGCCCTGAGAAGGAAATTTATAGCATTACAAGCCTACCTCAAGAAACAAGAAAAAGTTCAAATGAACGATCTAACCCTAAAACAAAAAGAATCAGAAAGATAATAACAAGAAAATCACAGAGTACATAGAAGAAAAGAAATTATAAGAATCAGAGTGGAGATAAATGACATATAGACTAAAAATAAAATAATAATAATAATAATAATAATACAAAAGATCAATAAAACAAAGAGCTTGTTCTTTGTGGGGGTTTTTTTGTTTTGTTTTGTTTTGTTTTGTTTTTTAAATATATTTTATTGATTTTTCACAGAGTGGAAGAGAGAGGGATAGAGAGTTAAAAAAATCAATGAGAGCAAATCATCGATCAGTTGCCTCTTGCACACCCCCTACTGGGGATGTGCCCGCAACCAAGGTATAAGCCCTTGCCCAGAATCGAACCCGGGACCTTTCAGTCCACAGGCCGACGCTCTATCCACTGAGTCAAACCGGTCCCCGCAAAACCAAGAGCTTGTTCTTTGAAAAGATAAACAAGATTAATGAACCTTTAGCCAGGTTTATTGAGAAACAAATAGAAAAGATTCAAGTAAATAAAATCAGAAGTAACAACTGACATCACAGAAATACAAGAGATTTAAAGAAAATGCTATGAGCAGTCATATGCCAACAAACTGGACAACTTGGATGAAGTGGACAAATTCCTAGAAACAGACAGTCTTCCAAAACTCAATCAGGAAGAATCTGAAAACCAAAGTAGGCCAATGGCAACGAATGAAATTGAAGCAGTAATCAAAACACTCCCAGCAAACAAAAGTCTTGGATTACATGGGTTCACTGGCAAGTTGGAGAACTAACACCTATCCTCCTCAAACTATTCCAAAAAATTCAAGAGGGAATTTAAGCTCTTTTGACAAGGCCAGCATTATCCTAATTCCAAAATTAGATAAAGATACTACAAAGAAAGAAAATAACAGGCCAATATTCCTGATGAACATAGATGCTAAAATCCTCAAACAAATATTAACAAATCGGATCCAGCAATACATTAAAAAGATCATGACCAAGAGGAATTTATTCTGGAGATGCAAGGCTGGTACAATATTCACAAATCAATGAATGTGATACATCACATAAACCAAATGAAGGATAAAAATCACATGACCATATCAGTAGATGCAGAAAGAGACTTCAACAAAGTCAACACCCATTTATGATAAAAACTCTCAGCAAAGTGGGAATAGAGGGGTCATACCTCAACATAAAAAATCCATATATGACAAACCCACAGCCAACATCATACTCAATAGGCAAAAATTAAAAGTGTTTCCTTTAAGATCCGAAACAAAACCGGGATATCTGCTTTCACCACTCTTATTCCACATAGTACTGGAAGTAGTACTGGAAGTCCTAGCCCCAACAATCAGACAAGAAGGAAAAATAAAAGGCATCCAAATCAGAAAAGCAAGAGTAAAACGGTCATTATTTGCAGATGACGAGTATACATAGAAAATCTTCAAGACTACACACACACACACACACACACACACAAACCCTACTAGATTTAATAAATGAATATGGCAAAGTATTAGGATACAAAATTAATATCTAGAAATCAATGGCATTTTTATACACCAGTAATGAGCTATCAGAAAGAGAAACTTTAAAAAATCCCATTTACCACCACAACAAAATAATAAGATACCTGGGAACAAACTTAACCCAGAAGGTAAAAGACCTGTACTCAGAAAACTATTGTATAAGACACTGAAAAGGGAAATAGAGGGAGATACAAATAAGTGGAAACATATACCTTGTTCATGAATTGGAAGACTTAACATCATTAAACCAAAAAACAATCTATGCATTCAACTCAATCACCATTTAAATACCAACAGCATATTTCATAGATCTAGAACAAATATTCCAAAAGGTATATGGAATCACAAAAGACCCCAAATAGCCTCAGCAATCTTGAGGAAGAACAAAATGGAGGGATCACAATATCAGACATCAAACTATGCTACAAAGCCACTGTAATAAAAAAAAATTTTTTTTTTAAAAGCCTGGTACTGATGTGAGAACAGGCATATATGGTAGATCAATGGGAAGAACAGACCCCAGAATTTGACTCACGCCAATATGTTCAATTAATATTTGACAAAGGAAGCAAGAGCATACAATGGAGTAAAGATAGTATCTGCAATAAATGGAGTTGGGAAAATTGGACACATACATGCAAAAAAATGAAACTAGACCAACTTACATTATACACAAAAATAAACTCAAAATGGATAAAGGACTCAAATGAAAGTAATGAAACCATAAAAATCCTAGAAGAAAACATAGGCAGCAAAATCTTAGACATCTCACATAGCAGAATTTTCGCTCATACTCACAGGGGAAGAGAAACAAAGGGAAAAACTTAACAAATGGGAATACATCAAGCTAAAAAGCTTCTGCATGGCAAAAGAAACCATCAAAATGAAAAGGGAACCCAAAGTCTGGAAGACATACTTGCCCATGACACATCTGATAAGGAATTAATTTCCACAATATACAAACAACTCATAATTGAACACCAGGAAGATAATGTTCATCGAATGATTATCATGTGATTACATCGAATTGCACACGGTAACTGGTTCGGTTTTCCCGTGGTGTGACTTTCCATAGCAGTTTTAACGCATTTCAGCTTATGTTCCCATGGGCACTATGCCACCCCCCAAGAGTGTGTGTGTGTTTACTCACAGTGACTGATGAATGCATACATTTCTAGACCTGTTTGGCCTAAATGTAGATTACTGTGACACATACAGAAAACTTTTCTGTGAAATTAAACTTTTGATACTTACTTTTAATTACACAAATGTGTCTACATAAGTAAAAACTAATCTGTCAATTTCTTAACATACATATTCATAAAACCTAATTTATTATATAATGTACTTTCAGCTTTAACAGATACCCCCTTGCCTGAATTAATCCATTATATCCAGGTTTTACTATATTTTTAAATAGCATGATATAAAAATCCATGCATTATAATACTATAACAAGTTTTACTGTTGCTCTATAGGTGGCAGTATTGTACTAACTAGTATAGTATGATAACACACCTGTTTAAAATAAAGGAAATTAACACTGGGGGGTTAGAAAGGGCCACCGAACCATCTATGCCACATGTGTCAAACACAAGGCCCGCGGGCCAAATCCGTCCCACCAGGCCTTGCAATGTGGCCCGCACCGCGCTGTCATCACTGCACTCCGCTGCGTTTCCATCACAATGACAGTTTATGACTGTTCAGTAAACCATTCGGCCCGCGATTTAGGCTGGATTTTAGATTTTGGCCCCTTCTCTGATTGAGTTCGACACCCCTAATCTATGCTAACCTCTCATCTGTTTTTCAGTAAATATGCTAGGAACTAATCTGAACTAATTAGTGCTCTCTCCTTAAGTCCAACCATCCAACCTCTCCTAAGTGCCCTACCTTTACCTAATTTTGGACTTCCTATATCCATCAATTTAGTATGTGTAATAAAACCAAAAGTATTCCAAAAACAATGAGAACTTCTGCATTTAGAAATTCTTTTCTGAAAAGTTGTTTGTTTTTTAATATGCCAGAGCTACTGATTACCCAAACACAAACCCAAATAGATATATTCAGTCTTTGATAAGATACTCTTGTGGAAAAATATAAACATATATTCCATTTTTAGAAGGTGCTTTGCTTACTTGTTTAATTCATCTGTGTATTCATTCATCTTTAGGTTCAACATTTATTGCTGAGCTAGATAGAGTGCTAGATGCTGGGGAATTAGAGGTAAACAGGATAGCTCTTACCTCAAGGAACCAAATTAGTAAGTGGAGACAACAGAACAGTGCTGTAACAGGAGATATATGCCATCACTTGCTAAACACAGGGCCTTATTCTCATGCCAGAATGGCTATAATGACCCTGAAAAACCCTATAGAGAGAGGAGCTTTCCTCTAGCTGTCTTCTCATGCTTCTTTCTCTCCTGAGATTTCCTGGAGATCACCTGCTCCTTGAAGAACTTGATTATCTATATCTCCATTTTTTCTTAAAAAAATTAAACACTGCTTTTTAAATTTTTATTACAATTTCAAACATATACAAAAACATAGAGAATGGTATAATGTGCCCTTTGCCCACCTTCAAACCACTGTCTATATACAATCTTGTTTCATCCAAACCTCTATTCATTTCTCTCCCCACTATTACTCTTCCCTCATTATTTTGAATCAAATCATACATCCTATAATTCATAAATATTTATTATGCATTTCTAAGAGCATTGGTTTTAATCAACATATCCCATTTTTTAATCTTCACTCAAGGGTATGTTTTTATTGGGGGGGAAGAGAGAGAGAAAGAGAGCGAGAGAGAGAGAGAGAGAGAGAGAGAGAGAGAGAGAGCGAGAGAGCGAGAGAGAGAGAGATGCACCCCAACTGTGCATCAAACCTGAAACCTTCTGGTTTACTGGATGCTC